CGTGGGTCGCTTCCAAGCGTCGGCCTTGCTGCTGGTGGGGCTCCGGAGAGCCCTCTTGGGGTCTGTAAGTTTAAAAAAAAACAAAACAAAAAAAAAAAAACCCCAAACCAACAAAAACCCGGCCCTGAAAGGTATTTGTAAACTCAAAGGCTGACCCTGGTAGGTCGCTACTATTGATGTATTTGGGTCAGGTTCTATATAAAACCCCACTGGCTTTAGGGCAGGGTTAAACCAAGCGTGTGCTGTTCTCTGGGTCACTTGGCTTAACTCCTCCAAGTAGTAAAATCGGCTTGCGGACAGTGAGAAGGGGGCTGTGCTGACGGCACTGCTCGTCTGATTGTGCTAACGAGCGTGCCTGTGTGCAGCATACCTGTGCTCAGGGAAAATACGATGGTGAACCTTGCTCGGGGCAAGCTGAAGCAGTTCTGTACTGGTGGTTTGTTGCCCTGTCAAGGGACCCGGTGACTGGACCAGCTCTTGTTTTCCAGGTTGAGCTGAAGCATGCCTCCGTTCTGAAATTGAACTCCGATATCGAACTACTTAGTGTTGATGGATAAAACGGCACAGTATGACTTCCTATGGAGTAGCAAGGTGAGGAATGAGGAGCTTTCCTTCAGGAAAGCTTATCTACAGCTGCAGGTTGGCAAATGCCAGGGATTTAGTGTGTGGCTGTGCGTAAAAGGTCAGTGGCGGTTCTTTGGTGAGAAAATTAACTTAGGAGATGAAGGTGTGGAAGTATTAGGCATGAAGCTTATTTTGATACATACATAGACGAAACTGCTAGCTTTACAAGGCTTTGAGAGCGGAATGCTGCGTGCTGTTCCCTTTTCTCCTTCCCCTCTCAGCCAAAGAGACTGTTCCTTACTGCGTTGTAAAGAATGTGTGAATGTTGTTTGAATGTTTGTGTTGCTTAGCTTTGGTTATAATCCGCGACAGGACTCCAGGCATCTCTGCAAGGTGTGTGGAGTGGTGGCCAGGCTCCACAGCAGCGCGCTGGCTTGCAGCCCTCTGTGCTGCTTCGCCCCTGCACCGTAGGTGTTTCTCAGGGGGTAAGATGAAGTCCTGCCTGAGATGTCTGCTTCTAAAAGACAGTAAAGGCTTATGCTGGCACCGTTCCGCTTTGAGGCTTCCTCATATCAAGCTACGAAGGACTTGTTCTCAAGTTCTTATGTGAAAGGGCTCTAATAAATATCCTACAGCTTGGTACCATCTTATTATTATGTGTGTAACACATCAGCTACTGTGCCAACATCTGCTTAAGTGAAAGGCATTTTGGGCAGAGAAGTGTCACACACCTTTCTCTCCACCTTACTCCTAGAAGGGAGGACAAAAAACTGCAGCCCTGCAGAGTCCCCGTTTTTCTAACTGGAAATATCAACTTTGCTGGGTGCCACAGCTGGCTTTCACATGCAATACTATTTGAGGAAGTCTGGAATTCTGCTATTTTCAGCAGTTCTTTGTCAAAAACAAAGAAAAAAAACAAAAAAACTGCTCAGTTTTTCTCTTCTAGCTGAAAGGAAGCCACCGCAGGTGGGAGAAGTTAATAAAGTCACTTGCTGCTGAGTTCCACCGCCCAACAGCCAGCTCTAATGTGGAAAGAGCTGAATGAGTTCATACTGGCCTGCATGAGAAGCAGAGGCTGGGGGCTCCGATTCAGGGCTTTATGTATATTTAATATATAAACTCAATTTCTGATTTCCAACCATCTGGCTGTATTCCATCAAGTAAGCCTCTCCTACAAATAGTAGAATAAAAGTTGAGCATATGGAAAATCCCTCGGGTACCTAGCGGATGATTCTAAATAAAATGGAAACACATAGTTAATATCGCTGCCTCCCTTCCCTTTGCTGCGTGTGTAGCGGTGTGTATTCCTCATGGGAGCCCTCACAGCCTTCGAGCTCGGCTAATATGCAGTGGTAGCTTTGCATGCTGTGTGTGCGCCAGTTCTTGTTAAGAATTCACCATTTCTCTGAAATGCTACCAAAGTTACAGCAGGGAAATGTGTGTGCCATCAGGGGTCACATCCTCCTGTTTCGTGTCCCCTTCCATGCCCTCCTTCCCCTGGTGGAGTGCCAGCTGGTGTATCTCAAGCTTATAATTAACTCTCTGCCTTCTAGGGGTTTGGTTCATCTGTGAGTTGCTGTATGGGCTGTCGCAAAAGGGGGTACGCAGGCCAGCTGGACTCTGCAGGGAGCTGCAGGCTGTTGAGTCTCTGTGCTGTTGGCACTGCTGTCGGTGTGTCACGGGATGCTTGGTGAAATGTGGGAGCTGCCGCTGTTTTCTGTGTTCAGGTGTGCGGTAATTGAAACACTTTTAATAGCTAATTGGGACGGTTAAAGCGATTATTAGCTCGATGTGTTGCTTCGATGCATTGGCAGCTCTGGCCTCTCTGCATTTTTACGAACTGCACTGGGCTCGGCCCGCTGAAATGCTGCTCTTCCCTGGTGTTACCCAGTGAATGGCGACAGGCCTGCCTCTGGCTGTGGACTGGGGTTTCTGAGTGATCAAGCTGCAGCTTAGTGAGTCACTGCTCCTCAGCTGAGCTGTGTTTCCTCACACGTGCTTTTGGCCAGATGCAAATACGAAGCAGAGCCAGGTAGCCTGGGCCACTGTAGAGGCTGAAGAGGTACGGCGGGTGTATAAGGAGCAGACGTGCTCTGTAGTTGTGTGGTTTCTTTCTGGTTTTCTTTACAAAGCAGTTGAACGTATCTGTTTATAATTTGAGTGGAATACATGAGATGACTTGAGAAACATGTCTGTCTTTTTGGTTCTAAAGCACTGTGAGGATGCATGCCTTTAGCTAATAGGGCTCAGCTGCCCAGTGGTAACACCTGGAAGTCTGACATCATTATCGGTGCTAATCATCCATCTGTATCTGTGTGCACTGAGTAGCTACATTTCACTGCCTTTTCTGATTTATTTTTTTCTTTTTTTCCCCCCAGGATTTATAGCTGGAGTCCCTCTTGCTTTGAGAAGCAGAATGACTGTCTCACAGCTCTGTTTTGAGGAGAGGGCATAGAAGGTCTGCCACTGTACTTTCCCCAAGGTATGAAAGGTTCCAGGGCAGGTGTGAGTTATCCACTGTCTGTCTTCCACGGCTTCCCATGGGTATATCTTTTTGTCAAACTCCCCTCAAGTAGATGAGTACGGGGCAGTAAACCTGTGGCAATTGAGTATTGCAGCTGCTGGGGAGTAACAGCAGCATGTCCAAGCAGCATGGTTAAGGCTGTTGAACTGGCTTATGCCATCCTGTTGTTCTGTTTCTGGGCTGTAGGTGGTTCTAGACTGTCCTGAGACCTCCTCCTGTGGAGGTCCCCGACTCCCTCCAACAGAGGTGCAGGAACTCCTGGTTTAGCAGGCGAGGTCAGAGCGGGGAGCAAGATCACAGCTAAATACGTTTGACGAGGCTTCTCTTGCTATATTTGCACTTACCTAGGCTGTACAGGAACCTTCTGAGTATCGCGCTTGCATAATCATATTACAGCGTTGCGTTACAAGGTGCCCCGTGCCTCTTGGCTCGGGTATCTGATACGTGATAGCAGCCTGGGCTTCCTGGGTGTTTGCTTGCCCCTGCTCCGCTCGCTTCAGTTTGAGTTGGATGCTCTGCTGATGCATTCTCTCTGCATTTACTTGTTCTGTGTGGGCTGGCTTTTAGTACCAGTAAGATTCCTAGAGACCCGGCAAGCCCTTGGTTAACATGATCCTCTGCAGAGGAACTGTCTGGTTGTGAGACCCTTCTTCTATGAATGTTCCTCGTTCTCAGGTACTCAAACTTTTTAGAGTCTTTTTTTTTTCCCCCCCTCTCCCTTGCTTAGATTTTACTGCATATTGGTATTTTGCAGCGGTCTTTCTGAGGGCGAATCTATTGCTGTTTGCCTTTTAATTCATGTTTCACCTCCGTTTTTGCGCTTAAAATGTCAGGAATAAGTTGTCTTCATGCTCTGACTGTTGAGTTCAGTGCTACACTGCGTTGTGTTGCCGAGGGCTGCGTCTGCTCAGCAGTGGAATTTGAGTGGGGTGGAATAAGCGTAATGTCTCAAACCAGCCGTCCAGTCTTCTGTGTTTCTGGTGCTTGTGGATGGTATTAATGGGAGCGATATAAAGGAACCTAAAGGAATTGCAGAAAGCAGCCTAATAACCCTTTTTTAATGGCTTATGTTCTTCCTTGAGATGCTGATAATTGATGCATATTTGAGGGTTAAAACCCCAGCAGGAGAGTCTGAGGGAGGAATCCTGATGAGAACAGTGAGAGGTGGCTAGGAGACATGAAATTCTGAGGACTGAATTGTTTCCATTGCATGCAGATACTTCTTTAGTTCAGCTGGAAGCAGTGGGCATCCAGTCAGTGGGATGTGATTGCTAGCTTAGCGTCAGGCGTGTTCTTCAAGCATGCTGTTTCCTTTTCCTTTCTTCTAGTGGGTTAAAACAGCTGAATGCTACTTTGTGCACAACAGCATTTAAACCACCAAGATATGGGAAGCTGTGGAAGCTTTCGACGAGGGGGATTTTGCGTAATGATTACAAATTAATGCAGAAAAGGGGGATGGGGGGAACGAATCTCCATTTAAGCTTTGCAAGGCTCCTAAGACAGGCTCCTTCTCCAGAGTACAATTGATTCTGGCTTTACATCTCTATTTTGTGCTTTAATTATCATGAGTTTTGTTGGAGCTCTAGGTTGAATTTGCTGCGATGGTGTTGGGAAGCAGCAAAGGCTGCTGCCGCTGTGGACTGGACTGGGACTGCGGAGTCCTGCCTTTTGTTCTGTCTCTGCCGCTGACTTGCTGAGCAAGATATTCTACCTAACATGTCTCCTTCTCTCTATTTGTGAGAAAGAGTTAAGGCTTCTAGTAAGGTCTGTTTGTGAAAATCGCTAGAATGCACGGCGGTATTTGGTGTAAGGGGTCTAAAGTTTTCCAATTTCTTTCTATTACAGGTGTGTAGTAAAAATGGTGCAGAAATACCAGTCCCCAGTTCGAGTCTACAAATATCCTTTTGAGCTCGTCATGGCAGTGAGTAATACTCAGCACTTTTACTTCTCCAGCTGCTAAGGGCAGCAACCTCAGGCCAGTGGGAGGTGGGGGACTGCGGTTTTGGCTAGCGTGTCTTTGTGTCAACCGCATGGGTACATTGCAGGAACAGAGGTTTAGCTCTCATTATCTTTCTGTCCTTTCTTCAATTTTTTGTGAAAAATAAGGATCAACATCTCGGTATTTTAAAAGGCAGTGTAGTCATTAGGGGGGAAAAAAACAAACAAAACCCAATCTTATTCCTTGTGAAAGAGTAATTACAGAAAACTGTGACATTCAGGTAGGCAGGGTCAGTTTGCGGCCAGAGACCATCTTTGCCTCATCGTGGAATGCCGTTCAGCTTAGAATATCTCTAGATCTGATCCCAATCAGTAACGTAGGATGTTTTTATCTAGAACTTGATTCTAAATCATATCGCGATGTTTGATTTGGTTAAAAAGCAAGATGTCTGGAAAAATTCTTCCATATCGTTCTTCCCTTTTCACGCTGTGGTTGAAATGTTTGGGGAGCTATCTCCAAATTTTGCCACTTCCTCCAGGGGCTTGAGGGCTGTAATTGAAGTTAAATTTGCTGGTGATGCAGAAAGCTAGTGTGACCATGGCAGTTTCCTTAGGTATAGTTTAAAGACGTTTGTGAGATTCTGGACTTTGTCAGGGCTCTTCAGGGCGTGAGTCAAATACCCTTCTGAAAGGTTTGCTGTTTGCATTTCAAGGGCAGCACTGAGCATTTGGGCATTTATCGGAGATGCTTGCTTATAGATTCTTGCAAGGCTTTGCTCTGTATCTGTTGGGCATTTCAGTCTGCTCTAGGGTTCCCCAAGACTTGGTATGTGCCACTTTTAGTCTGCCACTTTCTTTGTTGTCTCTCTTCCCTTCTGAACAAGGACACCAGGGGTTTTTAATTTGTCTGTTAGGGATCAAGAAGGAAGATGGAAAGCTATAGCCATTTTGGGTAGCTGAAATCATTCCCACGAATGGAAGGGAGAGCCTGATGTAATACATTGCATTCCTCTTGAAAACGTTGCCTCTTCTGGATTCCTGGGAGATGAATGCCGTAAGATTTGTTTTAGCCAAAACAGTCTTCAGTCTTCTATTTCCATCATTAAAACTGAGGGAGAGATTCTTTCTTTGGTCCTAACTGGGAATAATATACCCCGAAGGTAGCAGCAGTTCCTCAGCTGAGAGCAGGTGCTGTTCACTTTGATACTCGCTAATTATAAAAATAAACACTTTCTTTTTGACAGTTGGGCTCCCCCCTGCCAATTTCCCGCTCCCCCCACCCTTTTTCTCTTTCCAGTCTTACCCGTGTTCGCCACGTCTTTAATGGCTAAGCCAGTAACGTGCTGTAGAAGTGCCCCAACCAGCCCAGGGCTGATATTTGTGGTAGCTAAAATTTCCTGACCACGTTCTTTGCTCTCTGAGTGCATCCTGTATTAGAATAAGACACCAGTGCTTGTTATGAAGATACTGGTAGTCTTTGCTCTGTGCATACCTCCCCACATTCCTGTTGTCTATATTAGCCAGATAAACCTAATGCCAGATGCCTGTCAATAGATTGGCTGCTAATATAGGAGGGCTGCCTCTAGACAAATCCTTTGTAAGCTTGTTAGCTGAATGCCTAAAGGCCAGGGTTTGATGGGTTTATTTTTCAAGTGGTTTAGTTTTATTTGCTTTCAGTTTTTCAACGTGACAGAACTTAAAATTCCCTGGGATTTCAGGGCTGGGATTGTAAATGTCATCCTTTAGGTGTTCAGCAAACTCAAATTCCCATTACCTTTGCGAAGTTATTAGGCCTCTTTCTTGTGAAGATCAAGTTACTTGCCCAGGGTCACCCAAAGGACTGTGTAGTGGAGTAGGGAGCTGAATATAGACCCCTTAGTCCCGCTAATGTCCTATGAAAATGACGTGTTTGCAGCAGGATCTGCTTTACTGTGAAGACTGGCGTTATAAAGTAGCATTTCAATCTAGTGGCAGTCCATGCAGGCTGGGTTGGCTGTGGGCTTTGTTATCGTATTCGATGTGTTCAGATGGAGCCTTCCATTTGTGTGGAGGCACTGCAGATTTCACAGAGCTGTCAGGTGCTGGCTTGTCAGTTGCTGGAAGTTTTGCAGGGCGAGTGGGCGTACAGTGAAGCTGTTTTGCTCCTCAGCACGTGGCACTGCTGTTAATCTGCTTCAACATAAATCTGACAGCAGCTTCCTCAGCACTGGGAACCTGGTACTCAACTGCTTTCATCTTTTCCCCTCAAATGCTTTGTGTGAACCTTTGGAGCGCCGAGGTCTCATACTGTGGTTAATGGTGGGAAAGCGGAGGTCGCGTGGGTGACCTCAAGACACCTCCTTATTTCATGGGCGTCTCTGCACCCTTCAGCCTGTACACTTGTGGTTGCTCTGTGTAATGGGGAGGGTCATACTTCCTGTGGTCTGTTCAGGCTATGTCATGAGGTAAGTAGTGTTTGTTAGGAAAAGTATTTTTCATGCAGAACCTTGTATGTTTGAACCCATCTATAGAAAACAGTGCGTGTGCTTTGTTCAGATAGGAGGGTCTGAGAAATAGGGTTGTCATAACCAAATGAGGCAAACGATTCATTGCTTCCTGGCCTTCTCCAAACATGTAGCGTTTCCCATGCCTTTTGTTGAGCCCTACCGCCAGGAACACCATTTATCTTCCTTGGACTTGTACAGAGTGCATGTGTGCGCAGCTCATCCTCTAGACAGCACGGGGATCTGCTTGACAGAGGAGCTGGTGCTTTTACTGTTAATACCTTTCTTATTGTCTGTCTCTGGATAATTGTCTATGGATTTACCCTCTGCTGCTTACTAATACTTCTGCAGCTTGCGTTCCTGCATTTGTAGGCAGTAGATTTGACGTATCTTCCAAGTCCTTGGAAGGAGGACCACATTCCCCTCCTCACCCTCTTTACAGTCCTGTGCATCGAGGAAGTAGAAAGGAATCAGCTTACCAAGTCTCTTCTGGTCATTCAGGAGTTTTGATTTTTTTTTTCTTTTCCTTGCTAGAATAGTCCTCCCTCCTAAAGAGATTTAAACAAAGGACGGTCTTTACACACAGTAGTCATTTTTGCCTGCTTTGTTCCTAATCTGCACTCGGGTTAAAGGAGCGCAAATGTTACGCTCTTCAAATTATGACCAGTGCCTGACATCTTTATTCCTTATACTTGAAAATAACTTTGAAGTTTGGTATGCTTTGCTGTCTTGTCATGTTTTTGCTTTCCATTTTATCTCTATCTTTTTGTTTTGTTTTATTTCTCCTTTTAAATGGAGCTGTTCTCTCAAATGGGTTGTCCGTGCCTCTCTGGGACTGATCTCCTCTTCAATTAGATCAGCAGGTCTGAGATTGCTTGTGTTTCCTCATTTTATTTTACAGCTAAGGAAATCCCCAAGTGTCAAGTTTTTGGGGTTTATGTGTAGTGGCTGTAGTTTTAAAGCTAAAAGATTTTTACTAAAGCGTTAGAGGGAATAATCCAGAAGGAGAGGTCTTTCTGCCCCATAGCTTGTGAGTGATAACTTATTCTGGACGATGTAAATTGTTGTGAGCCCTCTCCGACGTGTGGAGATGAGAATGGGATTTGGGTGAGCAAATCTAAAATGCATAACTGTGCAGGAAACAGAGCTGAGAGAGACACAGCATTTTTAACACCGTTTCTTGCCAGTGAATTATTAGGTTAGCCAAGACAGTTTTAGCTTTGAAAATAGTGGGGAGCTTTCCCATTAATTTTAGTGCAGCACTCAGCCCTTCACGCTTGGATTTGACATCTGCCATTTTTGCTTACTCTATAGTATATGCTAATTTTGCTTAGGATGTTTCCTAATCCTACAGAACTGAAATACACACACACCCCCCCAGGGACTCTTACATGGTCTTCTATACTTGATTTATAGTTTGAGTTGCTGCAATAGTGGTGTAAATGAGAAACTTCTTGACGGCACTTCTGCCAATTGTTTCGTCCTCTTGCCACCTTTACGATGCACTTCACGTTCAGCCCTTACTGCTACCAATAGCAATTTATGGTTCCTGCTGCAAGCGAGGGGTCTTTCTGCACAGCCTGGTGCCAAGGGAATGGTAAAGGATGCAGATCCTGAAAAGGAGAGTGTTCTTCTTGCATGTTTTACACCTTGAACCAAATCAAACCTTTATCACTTTACTATCTGAGATTTTATATTTTCTATGAAACGAAAGCTCTGCAAAACACAACACTAGTAGGTTAAAGGCTGCGTTTAGTTCGAAGCTAAAAAGCTTTATGTATATGTGAAAATATATACATGCAACTTGACATATAAGCTTACTGCATACAGGACGATATCAGCTTTATGTTTGCAGCCTTTGCATGGTTTACTAATGTTATCTAAAAATATGCCATGGATTTGAAAAGACAGAACAAAGATCAGGCATTTGGAAGTTTGCAGTAGCATCAGCTCTCGCTGCGCGTACTGGTTGTACTCCGTGCTTAAGACCAAATTGCTCTTGAGCTCCCCATGCGCAGGATGTGAGTCAGTGCTTCTTTCTGCTTGACCTCATTTCTTGGTGCTGCCCACGGCGCGTGTTGGAACATATATGAGCATCTGAGAGCCCGACCTCTTGAAAATGCACGCGTGGACAGCGGTGGTGTATGTTTTCTCGCTGCACTACTCCTCAATCTAGCGTGCTTCTGCTATGTGCAACGTTAGTTTGGGATGGGGGGTGGTTCTTTGGGTGCCTGTGTGATATACAGGCATTTCTTATATCGAGCATCTCAGACTCTAATAGATCTGTTAGGTGGCAGCTCATGATTTCCCTGCCTGTGTCGGCAAGTGAAAGCTTGGTCATCTGAGGTCCTGGCCTGCCATCTGTACTTCCAAGCGGCTCTGTGACTCTCTTTTCTAGTTTTAGTGGCAATTCAGTGTTCTCTGCATTTAGTTGATCTGGAGTTCTTTATTTTTCAGGTAAGATAAAGTAGGAAATTAATTCTGTTTCCTCTCAGTATGG